CTCATAATGATGTCAGACCACACAAGGGGACTGACCTCTCATTGATTGTATTTACCGAATTTGGAAAACCTAACTTATTTTTCTTAAGCTGACAGAGAAATCCAACAATCTTGTTTGTCTTGTGTATACTATTCCTTGGGGAAAACAATGATGAGCAAGTGGCTCTGTCACAGAAGTGTGAGTGATGAAGGAACGGTAGGATGAAGGTTCCCCCACCTTGCAACTGTAATGAGAAAATGAACATTTCTCCCCATCAGGTGAAGACGAAGCCATGGGAAGGTACACGTACAACTGCCACCATGCTGGCAGTCTGAACCCAGTGACCCATCTTAGCATCCCCCCAAATGAAACAACCAGAAATTGAGTTGACTAATGGACTGACATTTTTGCTCACCTGACTCCTCCGTCCCCTCATCTGTCTTGTGGTGAAGGCGGCTCCAGTAACAGCCAAGAAACACCGGTCAAGTAGATGATGTAGTGGTCAACATGAGACCCAGTTGTCTCTCTGAGAAGATAATCTTCACTCAAGACTTTGACCGGTAGCCCTTGATGTCACCTGCTCGAATGCATTAATGCATCACCGAAGAAAACAGGGAAAGAGAAGGGGTCGGCATGGGGCCAGCATGGTGCCTGACCAGGTGCTGTCAGGAAGCAGCTCCCTCATAGTGACTGCTTAATCAGGCTGTCTTACCAGGATACAGCTGAATACTCACATCAGTCAATGAGCCGAGATGATCCTGATCCCAGGAATCTGCCCAACCTCTGATGACCACTTGGCTTCTAATTGAACGCACCTACATGGGCAGTGTGGCTCTCAGGTGAACCAGAAGGCCCCTTCCCCTCAGCTGTTCCTTCTCACAGGAATTCAGAAATCAGCATTTCCGCCCCACATCCATTCTTTGGGAACCTAGGGATGAATCAGATGTTGCTTGCGTCCATCTCCAGAGGTCCTTGGAGAAGACCACATGGGATATTGCTTCCCTCACCTGCTCTGGGGTTTGACAAGCTCAGGGGGGATGGGAACTTTGTCTTGCCCAGTGTCTTGCTTCATTTCATGGGAGAATATACTACCGCATCGGGAGGACGTGTTGTACTGGTGCTGGAGAGATGGCTCAGTGGTTAAGAGCACCAGCTGCTCTTGCAGAGGACCCAGGTTCAGTTCCAAGTACCCACATAGCAGCTAATGACCATCTATAACTCCAGTTCCAGAAGATCCGACACCTTCTTCTGGCTTCTACAGACACTGCGTGACACAGGTGCACTTACAAACATGCAGCAAAACACTCATACACATAAAATTAAAATAAATAAAATAAAAAGATGTGTTTTATAAATCAGGAGTAAAAGTAAACCGCCCAGACCTGCTAGGAGAGAGTCACACCCCAAATCCCCTTTGTGACATCTTGATGATCAACTCTCGGCTTGTGAAAGCCTTTGCAATTCATTCAGGAGGAGACACCATCTGAGAAATACCTGGACCAGCACAATAAGCCCCTAAGGAAGAAGACGCCCTCAAGCTGTGCTCTGGTGTGCCGCCCTCCCTACACAGGACTGCAGCTGTCTTTAGTGAGGTTTCCTGGTAAAGAAGAAACGGAGTATGTGCACAGGAAGTTAACCAGGGAGTGCTTTCCAGAAAAACACCTTGGCCCTTGATTGTTGTGGACAATGTGATGAAGCTGGAAATTCACAATATTAAGGTGATCAATACATGGTTGGCCTTTTGACCATAGTTAATTATCTCTTATTGACACATGTTGCTTATCAAGAATTTCAGAATAAAGGTCAACAATAAAGTTAAAGTGATTTTAAAGTTGTATTTTTATTAATTTCTTTAGATTTCTTTATATATTTATTTACTTATTACAGTATGTATATGTGTGTGTGCCTGTATGAGTTTATGTGCACACAAGCACACAGGTACCCATGGAGGCCAGAAGAGGGTGCTGGATTCCCTGGAACTGGAGTTGTTGCAGGCTGTTGTGATCCAGCTTATGTGTTAGGAACCAAACCCAGGTCTTCTGCAAGAGCAGAAGCATTCTTAACTAAGCCATCTCCAGCCCCTATTTTAATTCTCTCTCTCTCTCTCTCTCTCTCTCTCTCTCCACTGATTGTATTACCGTGACTAGGGTGACAGATCCATAAAGAACCAAATCCCAGAAGACTTGGCCTGGCACTGTCTTCCCCCCACAGCCAACCGCGAAGGCGCCCTGGAAAGGCAGGGCAGAAAGGGCCCTGCGCTGAAGCCAATTAGTGCTCAGCAAACACATCGGATCATTTCGCGCTCTGCCTGCTTTCAGGCCCACCTTCGGGGCAGCTGGCATAAAAGCTTTGGGGGAAAAATAAAAAAAGTGCAGGCTCCCATGGCCAGTGAGCTTACAGCGGGTTCAGTTTGGTTTGTTTGTTTTATCCGTGTCAAAGCTTCTGAGTGGCAAAGCCAGGAAAACGAGCTGAGTCACGGGTCCTTGTAGGAAGGTTTGGACTGGGGCAGACTTGGGGGAGGCAAGAGCTGCAGCGGTTGTCCAGGTGGGGGGTAAGGAGAGAGGGCTCCTGGGTGCCTTTCTAAAGGGAAAGCTGCAGTGCACATGTACCCACACCTGTGCCCAGGGTACTGGGGGCGGGGTGCTCCCACAGGAGAAACCTCACTCTAGGGACTACAGACAGCCTGAATTATGATAGCTAGCATTAATGGGAATCCATAGCGTGCTAGACTCTGCCTGTTACCTTATTGAATTCCCATGATAGCGCTGTGGTGTCGTTTATAAACGAGGAAACCAGCACCTTGAGAAGCTAATAATGCAGTCACCCAGCCACAGTGATTGAGCTAAACTTTGAACACAGGCCATCGAGTCATGCATTACCACCATAATGAATGCATCCCCAAACATTAGCCAGACTCTTTGCCAAAATATCCTAATTGCTGCTTAAGTCCTTATTTCCCTCTGGAACTACATTGTTCTCAGCACTGCGTTCTTCCAGGCGTCTACTAGAATGGCCTGTTAAGCTCTGCTTACACCAATCAACTGCTTTTCTAGCCCAAACTTCCAAAGTGTTTCACATTCTTCCAAAACCCTGCATGGTCAGGTTCTTCACAGCCAGCAGCCTACTCTCTGGTATCGATTACTATATTAGTTACTTTTCTGTTGCTGTGATAGAAACACTGACCAAAGCAACTTATAGAAGGAAGAGTTTGGGCTTACAGTTCCAGGGGAATTACAGTCCATCATGGTGGGGAGACATGGTGGCTGGAGGGGGAGCAGAAGCTAAACTCTCACATCTTTAAGCAGGCACAGGAAGCAAGAGAGTGACTCGGGATCCAGCAAGGCTTAAGAACTCTCTAAGCCGCCCTCAGTGATGTGCGTCCTCCAGCATGGCCATACCTTCTAACACCTCCCAAAACAGCCCCACCAACTGGGGACAAAATTTCCAAATACTTGGGAGCCTATAGGGGACATTCTCTTCAAACCATCACGATTGTGTTATTTTATTATTTTTATTTAATTTTATGTGTATGAGTAGGTCTTGCTTGTATGTGTGTAAGTGCACCCATGTTGTGCAGTGCCCCCAGAGGTCAGAAGAGGGTGTCGGATCCCCTGGAACTGGAGTTACAGACAGTTATCAGCTGCCATGTGGGTGCTGGGACTCGCACCCGGGTCCTTTGCAAGAACAGGCAGTGCTCTTAACAACTGAGCGATCTCTCCAGCCCCAATTGTGTTTTATGTATTCAGTGCAATGCTCCTAAGTACGGAGGGAGCTGTTCTTTTCTTCAAAGCAGCGCTTCCCTTCGTCTATGCAATGCTCCTTCTAAGTACGGAGGGAGCTGTTCTTTTCTTCAAAGCAGCGCTTCCCTTCGTCTCTCAGCACATCCTGTGTGTCGCTGATCCCTTGCTGACTGGTGGCTGCTGAGACTGAGCTGAGGCCATGGAACTTCTCCATCAACACACGCCACACAGTCATGGTCTCCCAGTACTGAAACTGCTGGTTCATGGGAATTATTCCTCATGGGGCCTTTAAAAGTTGGTGACTGAACCTTCTCTCTTGATGACAGGACTCCCTGGAGAGAATTGGATCATCACCTGGTTCCTCACAGGTTTACAAAGAGAGGGACAGACCTCAGGCAGAAAGAATAAGGAGCTTCTGAGAGAGTCAGGGAGGGGTATTTCAGATAAGCTTCCCCATGCATACCCTTCTCACACCGCCCACAGTCCTTCCAGTGTTTGGGATATCTTTCTAGTCAATGTAACTTTATGATATGCATTTTAAATGCTCATTCTTGGAAAATGAGACCAGGCTGGTCTCAAACTCACAAAGGCCCACCTGCCTCTGCCTCCTGAGGACTGGGGTTAAAGGCGTGCACCACCATGCCTGTTTGCATTATCATTTACATAATGTGACTCTCCCAGTGAGTCCCCATTTCCTAGCTACATTAGGAATCAAGGGGTCTACTTCTATTTCTACAAAGAAACCTTTCTAGTTTTGCTTTGGAAATTACTCATACTTTCATAATAAAGTGATCCTATTATAACATTTACATTTGTATAATAAAATGAGAATCATCATTTCTACATTGCAGGGTTCTTGTGAGAGAAACAATATAAGCTTGGAGAGTATTGAGAATTCTAAAAATGACCAAGCTGGGCCTGCCTGCACGCGGTGAACACGTGCCTGCTATGTGAGCTGCTGGAGCAGCTGAGGGAATGTGGACCACCTGGGCTGCATAGTAAGACTCTGGTTCTAAAAGAAAATCCACAGATGACTGGTGAAACCGTTGATGAGACTCTCAGGAGTCTGAGTCTGTCCTCTTCCTTCAGACTAGGATTCTAATTCACTAGCTTTATGCAAAGCAGTGGTCAAAATAGTTCGGTAAATAGATTTTTGAATATGCTCTGGTCCAGTTATCCAATTCTGAGTCTGAACTCCATCAGAGAGTTTATATATTCACGTTCACATCAAGTGACTATAGTGGGGAAACAAAGGGCAGAGCGAGCACTCACACTGCTGCAAAACAAAGATATTTTTATTGTAACTTGAAACTCATTCCCTAGACAGTGGGTAATACACACACTGGGTGGTGTTAGTGGATGGAGTTACATCATTGATGAATGCAGACATGTCAAAGTCAAACTTTCCAGGTTATGGGTATCTTGAACACAATAATCAAGAATATTGACCAAAACAGGACTTTGAATACAAAACATAGGTTTTTTTTCTTTTTAAAAATTCATTGCTATTTAAGATTTGTGGTTTTCTTACATGAATGTCTGTGTGTCTGTGTATATGCCACATGTATGCAGTGCCCATGGGGGCCAGAAGAGGGTGTTGGATCTCCTGGAGCTGGAGTTACAGGCAGCTGTGAGAAGCCTGACATGGGTGCTGGGAACTGAACGTAGGTTCTGTGCAAGAGCAAGCACTCTTAGCTGCCAAGCCAGCTCTTAGCTGCCCCCACCCTTTTTGCTTTTAAATGTCACTTATTTTATTAATTTGGATAGTGACTGAAGGATGAGGTATGGAGAACTTTCCAGAAGTCTGAGTATGGATCATAAGCCCAATGTGTCCTGGACCCCGGACCCATTACTGCACTGAGCAGTCTGCCTCAGTCATGAACTTGCCGTACTCCCGGTTCACTACACAAGTAGACAGCAGTGGTAACCGAACCCCCAGAGGACTCACATGATAAAGTGCTTCAGACGCCTTCAAAGAAAGGCAAGACAGTAGTGTCAAATAATTGCACGTATTTCAAAAGAAAAGACAATTTGGTACAACGGGAAGCCCTCACTTAGAGAACACTTGGCTATGTGAAAACTGACTTCATGTTTTATCTTTTATTCAAGGGAACGTTTCTCTATTACCTGTTTTTGTTTTTGTTGTTGTTGTTGTTTTCTTGTAGTGTGGATACACGAATGCAGGGTTCCTCACATGCTACCTGAGTACTGGATCACTGAGCTACACCCACATGCTACCTGAGTACTGGATCACTGAGCTATACGCATATGCTACCTGAGTACTGGATCACTGAGCTACACCCACATGCTACCTGAGTACTGGATCACTGAGCTACACCCCTGCCTCTGATGACCTTCTCAGGCCTGTTACCAAAATCCCTTGAGGGTTTGTTAAAATACAGATGCCAGAGCTTCCACTTGCAGAATTAAAGTCTCTAAGCACAGTAACAAGCCCTTATGTTTCTAAGGGATTCCTAGACATACCAAAAAGAAAACCTCTTTCTTTCAGAGGGAAAAATCCAATTTATTAAACATTACTTTATTAAATATTTTATTATTTTTATATTGTGTATTGCCTACATGTATATAAGTATACCTGTGTTGTGTGTGCAGTGCCCTTGGAGGTCAGAAGAGGACGTCAGATCCCCTGGGAGTTACAGATGGTTATTAGCTGCCATGCGGGTGTTGGGATTCAAACCCAGGTCCAAGAGCAGCCAGTGCTCGTAACCGCTGAGTCATCTCTCCATCCCTAAAATTTATTTTTGTCCTCAAATATTATCCTTAAGATTAAATAAGGTGGATGAGGGTATCAATTTCTTGTGTCCCTATCCCTTCCTGCCCATGTCTCTCACAGAGTCACAGCATGCATACACACACACACACACACACACACACACACACACACACAGCTCACAGCATGCATACACACACACACACACACACACACACACACACACCATTCATTGTTTAGCTCTGACCTTGAATTAAAATTTGTTAGTGGTGAAGTTTGACAGATACCTAAGCACAGGTTTGATCTGGAAGACACACAGGCCTTTCAAACCATCCCCACGGCTTCCCCTTTGCCAGACGGAATGGTTCAGAAGTGCATTTCCAAGTTTGAAATGGTAAGATCAGCAGGTCTCAACGTCGCTGACGGGATGCTGACCAACACAAGAAGTGGGGTTCTAGGAGCCAACCAGGCAGAAAAGGCTGCTGAGGAACTGAAAGCTCGTGCGCAGTGGTACCAGGGCCGAACGGTGCGTCAGGCAAACCAAAAACTGGTGACGGCTGACTGCGATGTCAAACATCTTGTCTAAGTCTGCAAGCCTTCAGGCTGCTTTAATAAACACCTTCAGTTCCTGAAACGAGGTGATGCCACATCCCTGCTGCCAGAGAAAAGACAGCCCTTTGCTCAGAGGCCATTACACAGATCCCATCGCGAGGTTAGTAAGTCATGAGACAGAAGCAAACGCTCTGGGTGCCTTGCAGTGAAAATCACGGAGAAAGCAGAAAATCTAAACTTCTTTACCCAGAGAAAGGTCTGTGAGGCTGGTCAAAAGTTCTACAACATGAACTAAAGAACAACAGTAAAACAAAATAGCTCCCCTTCCTGGGAGGAAAACAAATCAAGGGATAGAGGTTATACATTCATTACATAAAGACAGGATATCAAAAATAAGTTTTCTCCTTCAGAGCCAGCCATAGAAAGTTTGCCAGAGAACTTACCTGACAACTTATTAAAAATTATTTATTTATTTTTTGCTGTATGGTATAAAGTGGAGAAGCCCTTTAAATAACCCTCTAAACGTTAGAGGAAACTTTGTACAAAAAAGTCGTTGGCATTGGCTTAGGGAGTTTCTTGTTGCACGTGTCCCAACAGGATAAGGCCGCCAGCAGCAGGATGGACCCTCCCAGCAGGACACAGAAGCCACTGAAATAAAAGGCGATGTCATAGGTCTGGGTCCAGTCGTAGAACCAACCTGAAAAGACAGTGAGGAAAAAAACACGTTTCATAGAAACAGTGTTTCTATGCAGTGAGGACCAGGCTGTGTGTATGCTATCCCACCTGCTTCCAAGATGGCTGACTGCACCTTAGGGGAGGGAAGTCCTTCAAATATTTGAAGCAGGGACTTCGAGTTTCTTTCAAATAAAGAATGGGCACAAATGCCAAAGGAAGTATATTGGCTTTTCAACTACATATCAAAGACATATATGTATGTATGTATATATGTATACATACATACATATACATATGTGTGTGTCCTCAACTATATATCAAAGACATATATGTATGTATGTATGTATATATGTATACATACATACATATACATATGTGTGTGTCTCATGCAGCCCAGGCTGGCCTCAAACTCACCATATACCAAAGATGACCTTGAACTTCACATTCTCCTGCCCCCACCTCCGCCTGAGTGCTAAGATCATAGGCATGAACCACCACACTTGGTTTCTACAGACCTGGGGAACAAACCATGACCTCCTGCATGCCAGGCAAGCACTCTACCAATGAATGGGCTACACCTCCAGCCCTATCAAAACACTCAGATAAATTAACACAAACTATTCCATTCAGATTTACTTTGTGCAATTCTATGCTATGACTGAGATGTGAATCTCTACGCCTGGAGGTCTTACAATGAAGAACAGTAAACTGTGTTTTCTCAGAGATGAATATCTTACCGACAATTGGTGGTCCAAGGCTATTTCCAAGTCCAGCAAAGAACATTAATATTCCATAGGCATGGGCTAGTTTGTCAATTCCCACAGTCTTCGTGGTTACATATGGGAAGATGGACCAATTACCAGTGAGAAACCCTAGGATCCCAGAAAGTATGGCCAGTGTGACGTAACACTTGGCAAGTGGAATTGCACACAGGGCCAGGCCCATGACGATCAGGGTAGCTACATAGAGATACAAGGTGTTAATCCACTTAAAGTCAGCCAGGATTCCCAGAAGGAGTTTCCCCACAGCTGTCATGATGCCGATGATGGAGATGAGGGGCATGACGAACTCCTCTTCCTTCACGCTGGAGCTTCTCGCTACGTCTTCCATGAGTAACGACGGTGGGAACCCTCCGATGTCAAAAAGGAAGATGGCGATGAACAGTGCAGAGAAGACTTTGTTTTGAAAAAGAGACGCGGTCTCGCTCCAGTAGTTCTTATATAACTGCCACTTCCTCTTGGCAAGCTGTTTACAAAAATAGGTCTGTTCCACAACTTTCTTCCTGTACATCTCGGGCTCCTTGGCATGGGGCACAGGGCTGGGTTTTTTATGGAGAGGGCTGTCCTGGCTCCAGTCACCACTGGCCAGGGAGCATTTGTATTTATTCTCACTAATGTAGCTCTTGTCTAAGATGTTTGGACTTTCTTCTAAGTTCTTTTCTTTCTCATTGTACATGGAGTACCTATCTGGAACATTCTCCAGAGCTGTTTTTTCAGACAAAGGACAGTCAGAGATCTTCAAGGGCCTCATCAGACTGCCACAAGCTAGTATATTTAAAGATAAAGCACCCACAATCAGCAGGCACCCATCCAGGCCATAGTGTTCAATCAGCATCCTCTGCAGAGCCGCATAGACGAAAAGGCCAACGCTTGAGCCTGCAAGGGAAGTGGGAGCTAAACAGCTACAGTCTCGTCATCTGTGATGCTTAACACAGCGTTAACAGTATCAGAAGTCAACTTATTATTTATGTTGATACTCATGGGGCCTTCATATTAAAACAAGAACACTGAGATAACAGCACGCAGTACTGACAGACATGCAGCTTCAGAATCAACCTTCATAGACCCTGTTGTGCACTCTGGACTTACTTTATTTTTACATATACCTGTGTGTGTGTGCGTGCGTGCATGCATGTGCAGTGCCTGCAGAGGCCAGAAAGAGTAGTGGATCCCCAGGAACTGGAGTTACAGGCAGTTTGTGAGTAAATCCTAGTCTCCTGCAAGATTATCAAATGCTCTTAGCTGCTAAGCCATCACTCCAGCTCCCTCTTGTGCACTTTGAATACATGATCTTCATGACGGTTAACAGTTCTATTGAATTTGTCCCATTATGATTCCCAATCTGTGGATGAAGTGATCAAGGGCTAGAGAGCTTGAGAACATTACCATGGCTCTCAGAGACATTAAGTGTGACTCAATTCAGTCAGCCTGAATCCAGAAGCCCATGCTATCCATAGCTTTTAATTTTTAAAATACCATCTATTAATTAATTTAGTGTGTGTGTGTGTGTGTGTATGTGTGTGTGTGTGTGCATGTATCTGTTACTGCATGTAGTGGAGTTCGGAGGACAACACATGGGAACCAGTCCTCTTCTCCTACAATGCGGGTCTCAGTGACTGAACTCAGATTGTCAGGCTTGGTGACAAGTGCCTTTACCTGCTGAGCCATCTTGTGGCCCCCATTTTCTTAACAAATACCATTGTGTGACTACATTTTGCATTTATTATGCACCAGCCTCCATGCTGTTTTATCGCCCTTAGAAAAGCAAATTTTCACATTTTATCTTTACCATGGCTGCTATGGGTTAGTTTTAGGATATTTATAACAGTTTGATCATTTAAATTCATTGCTGAATCACCAGACTGTGTGATTTGTATTCTTGATGCACTGATAAAATTGGACTATACATCACGCAAGGGGAGCCTCTCCTTTTCAGCATCAATCTCCCAAGCCCACTGCAAGCCCTGGGTACGTAACATTTGATGTGCGTGCTTCCTATCTGGTTATGATTTCAATGTTTTTTAAAACTTGAGTGTTTAAAAATTAAATATCATTGGGGCAATGTCATATGAAACAGCAGGAAAAAAAGGTTAATTTTTTTTTGGTCTTTTTGAGACAGGGTCTCCCCAGCTGTCCTGGAGCTCACTATGTAGACCAGGCTACCTAAAGGCCTGAGTTTGATCCCTGGGACCCACATGGTAGGAGACAACAGACTTCCACAAGCTGTTCTCTGACTTCCATACACGCATAGAGGCAAGTGTACTCACGTACACACACACACACACAGACAAATGAATGTAATTACTTTTTTTGAATGTAATTACATTTTTTTGGGGGGGGGTGTTTTTTTTTTGAGACAGTGTCTCCCTGTAGCCCCAGCTGTCCTGGAACTCACTATGTAGACCAGGCTGGCCTTAAACTCACAGAAATCCGCCTGCCTCTGCCTCCTGGGTGCTGGGATTAAAGGCATGCGCCACCATGCCCAGCAGTAATTACATTTTTTAAGTTTTTTGAGTTGATTTTAAAGCAAGAAAATAAACGAAACCACTGTTGACCAACTAAGTCTGTCAATATCATGAAACATAATAAGCAGCATATCAAATCAGGTCAACAGCTGCTATTGATCAAGTGCTGTGCTGTATGACAGGGCAAACCAAATCTACATCCCATGAGAACGCAGGATGACTTAGAAAGATGCAGGAATTCCTCAGGTTAATGGAAACCAATTAAATCAATCAGAAACCAGTGAAAACGAAATCAGGGTTTCCTTGTGGAATTTTGTAAACTGTAAAGCTATAATTTTGAATTGTTTAAAAGAACGTCCTAATTGAAAAATCATCAATGTAAAAACCAAAGTGAGATAAAGCACTAATTAAGCTTTCACCAGCATCTGAATTGTGCACTGCTATAAAGAAGGAAAATATTAATTGGTGCTTGGGGAACCTCAAACACTAAGACACACTCGTGCCTTAATTAGCTAATCAATACCAAGGGTCAATAAACTTTTTCTATAAGGGGCCAGGGAGTGAATATCTAAGGTACTGTGATCCGTAGATCTGTCCAGAATACTCCAGCTGCCCTGGAAACACAAAAACAGACACCACCCAGCACTGCTGCGTCCCAAGAAAGCTATGGATGCTCAGCTTCCCGAATCTTCTCATGTCATGTAATATCTTTCTTTTGACTTTTTATAATCAGATAAACACATAAAATCCATTCTTATGGAAGGTACAAAAACAGGCAGTGAACTACTGGACCCAGAACGTTCAAGGTTCGGTTTTCTGGCCCGTGCACTGTGGAGGAAGAACATAGTCCCCAAACCTTTAGGGTTTTGAGGCTGTTGGTTGCTTTGACACAGGGTCTCCTGATGTACCCAGAGCTGACCTTGAATTCACACTCATCCTGCCTCAGCCTCCTGAGTGCTGGGATGGCAGGCATGACCAGGATGTTGGGCCGAGACCCTTCGTGTTATGCCGTCATCTCCGCACATTTCCCCTTCCAGCTTGGCATCATGTTTCAAGTAACTGAGTTACGGCTTCTTGAAAAAATTCTACTATGATTCTGCTTTGCTCAGCCTCTTTCAGTGAAGTTCACCTCACCTGGCTCCCAGGAGGCTGATGGTGAAAGCTCCTTTGCTCACAGCCTCTTTCAGTGAAGCTCGCTTCACCTGGCTCCCAGGAGGCTGACGGTGAAAGCCCCTTTGTGGTTGTTGCAGTTCTTACTCACTATGCAACAGTGCGGCCCCTCTGCCCTGCTGTGTTAGTTACAGCTAAAGGTAAACCCTGTTTGTTCTTGGAGCTGCCATTCTCATACTCCCTTTCATACCTGTGGGAAATCCTGACTAGTGTTTTCAACTGCATCCAGTTGCTCTGGGTTCCCTACTTTTCCTGCTTCTGCCTAAGCCATCTGCTCAGACTCTGGCCTGGCCTCTTCCTGAACTACAGTTCACCTTTTCTACCTGTCCATACTTCTTTCGCCAACATGGCTGAGTATCCAGTTTGGTTCTCTTTGTGGCCTTCGGTTGGCCACAAGAACAAAGCATTCGTGTGAATCCTGTTGCCAGATAACTACTGAAGTCATGCAGCCTATGAGCCAGCCCTCCTGGGAACACCAGCCCCCTCATGAACAACTAGCTTAGGTAAACTGACACCTCTTGCTGACTTGGCAACTGTATCCTCTAAATAAACTTATAAAGTATTGGCTACAGAAATGTTGATCCATTCCATGAGCAGTTTTTTTTAGTTCATCTGAAACATGAAATACCACTTTGAATTACCTGGAGGAGCCCAGAAATTTACGTTTAAAACTTGTATGTTTTTCTTGTTTCTTTAGACACAGATTCTCACTATATATAGCTCAGGCTGGCCTCATGCTTCTAAGCCTTCTGCCCCAGCCCCCTGGTGCTAAAATTATAGGTGTGAGCTACCATACCTGGCTTAAAATTTGTATTATATATGCACACGTGCAACTCCTTCAAGGATCACTTTTGATTGTTAAAGGGATAATGAGAGCAGAGCACGTTGTTTGATGTGCAGGTGGGGCCGGCAAGTTCTGTTCAGAAAGCAGATTGTTAGAGAAATCATAACTTCTACGTTATGTGGATATAGAGGGGTGGCTGGCATCAGCCTCTCCCTCAGTGGCAGGGCCATTTGTTTCCTCCCTTTCTTCCCTCTTTCCATGGAAGGTGATGTCTGATCTGAAGCAGTCTCTGCTTTTTAAGCAAGCCCTCTCCAGCATATAGCTGCCAGCCCATCTTATCAAACATCCAGTACTACAGCCTTTTCATTTGTGTATCTTAGGAACTGTAAAAAGTCCCCTATTTGTGGTGGGAAAAGAAATCTTTCTTCAAGAGTAGAGTGAGAAAACGTTTTGCAGACTGGGGAGATGGCTAAGTAAGTTCAGGGCTTGTCACACAAGCATTAAGACCTGAGTCTGATCCCCCAGAAGCCACATCGAAGGCCAGGCACAGAAGTGCTTGCCTGAAATCTAGCACTGGGGAGGAGGGAGGATCACTGGGGAGGCAGGAGGATCACTGGGGCCTGCTGGCTGGCCAGTCTAGCCAAACCGGTAGACTACAAGTTCAGAGAGAGGCCTGTCTCAAAAACTACAGTGGGAGCACTTTAAGAAGACATGTGACATCAAACTCCAGCCTCCACATGCATGCACATACTTACACACACGTGTACCCCACACATACACATGTACCCCCCCCCCCTGAAGAAGACATGTGACATCAAACTCCAGCCTCCACATGCACACACATACTTACACACACGTGTACCGCACACATACACATGTACCCTCCCCCCCCACACAAATTTGCTATTATATTGGCAGCTGATTGAACATACTTGTGCTTGGTAACTTTTCACTTTATTTAGAAGGCTGAATTGTGACAATACTGTACTTAATTTTGAAAACATACCTGTTGAAATCAGACCAAGTGCTAGGCCTCGGCGGCTGTCAAAATACTGGCACGTAATGGTCACTGTTGCAGTGTACAGTAAGCCACATCCAAGACCTGGACACAAGAAAACATTGGCTAAATCAAGACAGAACATACCAGCTCAATGCGAAAGAAAAGAAAATCTATGGATGATCTCGAAAAGAATGATGTGTTATTAGCTGGTTAAATTTCAGAGTACTAGTCCCACGTCAGTTCTATGACACCAATGGATATGTTGGGAAGCCTCATTTTTTACTCTATTCCCCTTAAGATCAGGGACAACTAAAAATAATAATAACCCAGTTTCTGAAGAACAAATCAATAATGCAACTGTAACATAAGATGCACAGAGATGGAGAAAACAGGTGCACAGTCACCAAATACAGAAACTTAACCAAACACACACCTAGCGTCACCACTTCTCTACCAAGTCCTTGCACCAACTCAGTATTCGTCCTCTAGGACCTCCAAGTAGCATTTTTCAAGATTTTATTTTTGCCAGGAGTGGTGGCACATGCCTTTAACCTCAGCACTTGGGATGCAGAGGCAGGCGGATCTCTGTGAGATGGAGGTCAGCCTGATCTACATAGCTACTTCCAGGCCAGTTGGGGCTATAGAGAGACCCTGTCTCTAAAAAAAAAAAGATTCTATTTTTGTATGTGTATGAGACTGTATGTACACATGAGTGCAGGTGCCCTCAGAGGCCAGAAAAGGTATTAGAGTTGTGAGCTGCCCAATGTGGGTGCTGGGAGCTGGACCTGGGCTCTTTGCAAGATCAGTAACTGCTCTTACCTGTTGAGCATCTCTTCAGTCCCTTCTAAACAATTTCACAAGTTCCAGCCTCACCCCAAGATGTTTTGCTAGAGCTTATGTTGCACACCTCAGTCTCCAAGACAAAGGCTTTGGGGAGCACTCTGGGGTTCAATCATTTCATCATCCCAAAATTTATAAGTCCCTGCACTTAAGAGACATTTTTGTCTTATTTAGCCATAAAATACAGTGACATGTTTAGTTGCATCTAAAGAAACTTTGAGGAGAAAAAAAAAAAAGAAACTACAGTAAAACAACAACTGTTAAAGGCACTGAGCACATGGTTGTTAGTGAGTGATGCTGTTCTCTATTTTTCTGAAGGCCTGAAATTGTCCATCACTCAAGACAATCCTGCAAATACACTGGCCTTCCTGTGTCCCAAGGGTAAGATTCGTCTCCTGGTTGCATCTAAGGCTCCGGGTTGTGAGCTGGATCTTTTCCTCACCACTGAGCATCTACCTGGTAACCGGCTTCTTTTCTGAGCATCTACCTGGTAACCGGCTTCTTTTCTGAGCATCTACCTGGTAACCAGCTTCTTTTCTGCCCGTCTCCTTTGGTTTGATGCACTTTGTCCTTGCCTTCGCTGATGATCACTCTGAAAATAACGCATAAGCCACTGACTAAAAGCTGAGTTTTAATCATGGTTCCTTAGGTGAACTATGATTGTTTTCATACTTAAACAGCTACCTAGACTCTCTCAATGGAAAAGCTCCACAGTCTTAAACATATGAAGTAAGCATCTTAGGGTATCAGCACTTAACCACACAGTAAGGCCCAGGCTGGCATCAAAACTTCATTCCTCCTGCATGAGCCTCCTGAGTGCTGGGATAACAGAGGTACACGACTGCGTCCACTTTGTTGGTGATATGGATAAAAGTGACCGTTAGTGTTTTCTGCTAAAGTGTGTTAACATTCTAAGGTTCCTTCATTTCTTATAAAACCAATCTTTTTCAAATAAACTATTTATGGCACCATAAAATCAGGTTTGAAGGTCTACCTGCTCCAAGGGCGGAATAAAATGGATCTAATATAACAAAATGTGGAAATCGGACGTAGGTGTGGTCAGGTTGTATGCTGCGGTTAACCTTTAGGAAACCATCTCCTACCAAGTTCTGCTACAGTGTCAAAGAGGGATTTCTGTAATTACTTGGAAAGACTATTAAAAATTCTTCCCTTTTCCAAATACAGTTTTATGCAAGTCCCAATTTTCTTCAAACATTTCAGTCAAAAATACCACAGTGGGTTGAGTAAAGATGGACAGGGGGCTGGAGAGATGGCTCAGCGGTTAAGAACACTGGCTGTTCTTGCAGAAGACCCAGGTTCGAATCCCAGAACCCACATGGCAGCTAACAACTGTCCGTAACTCCAGTTCCAGGGGATCCGATGGCCTCTTCTGTCCTCCGCGGGCATTGCATGACATGGGTGCACTTACCTACATGCAGGCAATACACGCATACACATAAGATAAAAAATAATAAATAAAATATTTTTTTCAAAAAAAGATGGAGACAGGGGAGCCCATGCCTTCTAAAAAACCTGAGTGGGTGGTGAATCCTGACTTTACATGATTGGACTGAGACCAGTATAGCCTGTCTCTGGGAGTGTCATGGGGGCATTTCCAGAGAAACATGGATAAAGGCTCAGGGAGACCAAAGGGGAAAGCAGGGAAAGTCAGTAATGTAGGCCTGTCCCCCCAAGGCTGCCATGACATGAACCGCTCTGCTCTGCTCTGCCCTCCCCACCACTACGGACTGAAATCTCTAAACTGTGAGTCAAAAGAAATCCTTCTTTGCTGGTGTTTCCTTAGATATTTGTCACCACAAGGAGAGAACATCTGTGAACATAAAAACACCACGGCTCTTCTGTGGCTGGGGTTCAGTGGTTCTGTATTTCCTTAGTACACGTGCAAGATGTGGGTCTTATCCCCGCACCAACACACCCTCAGAAAACAAAAACATTCCTGTGACTATATTTTGTTTAGTTTTAGAAAAGAATCACTTTTCACGGTAAATGTGTTACTGGTATCACGGTACACTAGGTTTGTGATGTTTAAATGGGTCACTAAACGTATGTTTGAAATTTTATCATTTAAATATTTTTTTATTATTTTTTAAAGATTTGTTTGTTTTTTCAAATTTGGGGGGAAGATTTATTTTACTTGTCTGTGGGTGCCAATAGAGGCCAGAAGTGAGTGTCAGATCCCTTGGACAGTTTGTGAGCCACCTGATGTGCATGCTGAGCTGTGAGCTCTTGTCCTTTTACAGAGCAGTCAGTGTTCTTAACCGTAGAGCCACTCCCCAGCCCTTGCTTTATTTTAAATTACAGGTATGGGTCATGAGGGTGGGGGTGGGGGTGGTATGAGTGCAGTTGCCTGCAGAGGCCAGAATGGGGCATTGGATCCCCTAAAGCTAGAGTTAGAGGGAGTTTTGAGTCACCTGATGTGGGTACTGGGAACTGAACTCTGGTTCTCTGCCAGAGCAGTGCACATGCTTATCTGCTGAATCATCTCACCAGTCCAAAACTTATCTTTTAATATATTAAAGAATAATGCAGTAAATAGATGTATAATACACAATCTAAAGTTCGTTGGGGTCCTAAGAAAGTAAAAGTTCCCAATACTTTAAAGTTTCCAAACTACTGTCTTTTAAAAAGATTTATGTATTTATTTTTATGTGTATGAGTGTTTTGCCTACATGTATATAAATGGGTCATGCAATGCCCACAGAGGCCAGAAGGGGTCATATCCCCTAGAATTGGAGTGACAGACGGTTGTTAGCCGCCATGTGGATGCTGAGAACCAAACTCAGGTCCTCTGCAAGAGCAGCCAGTGTTCTTAACCTGAGCCATTTCTATAGCCACCCTCACTACTGTCACAAAGTGTTTCTTGGTTATCAATCAATGTTGAATCTTGAGTCAGCCTACCATAAGCATAACAATTTTAATAATACCCATAATTAACTGAATTAATTAATTAACATAATTAATTGAATCTCAGAAATAGCATGTTTGCTCTCATTTGTGATCCCTGAATTGTGTTTAGATACATATATCATGCATCTATATATGAATCACATATGTGTATGTGACACATAAGTAGAAGTAAAATTGTCAAGGGGGTCAAAGAAAACTATAGAATGGGTGAGAGCAGGTAGGATGGAGTTATGCTTCATGTACCATTAACTTGGGTGAAATGTGCTTACGTAACAGTACCGTGTACAGCAGACAGTGGATTCTTAGATCCACACAGCTGACGATTCAAAGATAAACACAAGTGAAATGTATTTTTCCCTTTGTTTAAGTAAATAAACATGCAATATATTCAGAAGGGCTAATGAGTCTTTTTCACCCAGGTTCCATTTCCTTCACCTCTGGATGAGACCCCCAAGTCCAGGGTCCTTGTTTTACAGGTCACCCCACATCTGTGAAAGTGGTCAGAGTCAGAATGGAGTCGCTTTTGTCAAACCATAATAAAAAACAGAATAAACAGATCTGGGGAGCTACAGCAGACATCTCGTGTGTGTGCACCTGGTAACAAGAACTGTTCACAGACAACTCTGAACTGCACCTGCACAAAGGCCACTGCAGCCATCTGCAGAGAGGACTTCCACAAGGACGTGCCCAGCACTGTTTAAGCTGGGACCAAGGCCATTCCTGTTATTGATCCTTGTAGCCAAGAATCTATGTTTCAAAACCTTTTATGTGATTCTCTTTATTTCACCTTTCAAAGCTTCTACTTGCTTCAACCCTTGAAGGTTCCCACTGTGCTGCTTCCAGGCTCCACTAACCCCAGCTGGTCTTGGGGAATCTAACTGCTGTTTAAACGAACACAGCAACCCAGCCAGATGTTAAACACCTCATCACACCCACTGCTAAACCATCCATGCTTGGCTCTCAGCACTGCCTGTTCTCCGTTCACCTCTTCAGCATTTCCCGCCTGAGCTTCCTCGTCCGTGTCCTTGTCTAAACCCCCAGTGCTCTTCCTACCGAAGCTGCATCTGGTGGCCCCCCTGCTCCATGTTTCCACAATAAAAACGACACAGAACAACATTTTTCCACCAGGTTTCTACTGTACACTATACTTTGACAGATTTGCAACTCCGCAGGTGACTGGCATTCCTTTAAAACATATACTAAAAGGCTGTTATTGGGGCTAGAGAGAGGGCTCAGAGGTTAAGAGCACTGGTTGCTCTTGCAGAGGACCCACGTTCAGTTCCTAACACCCATGTGGTGGCTAACAACCATCCTAACTCTAGTTCTGGGAATCCAGTGCCCTCTTCTGGCCTCTGCAGGCATTGCACACAAAGGTACACACAAACATGCAGGCAATACACACATACACACAAAATAAATTTTTTTTTTAAAAAGGCTGCTATTGGGGCTGGAGAGGTGGCTCAGCAGTTAAGAACATTGACTGTTCTTGCAGAAGACCTGGGTTCGAATCCCAGCACCCACATGGCAGCTAACAACTGTCCATAACTCCAGTTCCAAGGGATCTGACAGCCTCTTCTGTCCTCTTCAGGCATTGCACAACACAGGTGCACATATATTTTTTAAAAAGGCTGCTATTATCCACAGTGTCTCATGCTTCTGATTGGTCTACGATGTTATTACATCACTCTCTTCTCTTCCAACCGGCTTCCACCTGGCCACATCCCTCCTGCCCTTAATGACTCAGCTCACTCTTAAATTCTGGCAGCCTGTGTCCCACAGGTACACAGCATACCAGTACTGAACGCTGGGTTTGTTTTATTGCTGTGCTTGTTTGTGCTGTGTAGCAATTACACAGTTACAAGTCTGTTCCTCCAACTAGACAGTTCTGTGCTCACTAACTGTTAGTATTCTTACACAATTACAGTATTAGAAGGCATAAAGTATACATACTTGGTATCTATTCTTAGAATGTAGTGTTAAAAATAGCCATCATATTGGTATCAGTTCTCACTTATCACCTGAGTACTGGGGCATCATCTGTCATAGATCCAGCCTCAGACCATATGAAAAGCCATAGTTCCTAGCTGGGCATGGTAGTGCCTACTCAGGAAGTTGAGCCAGAAAGACCTAGAGTTCAAGGTTATCCTGGACTACATAGGGAAACCCTGTCTCAAAAAAAAAAACAATGAAACAAAGATCACAGTTGCACCTCTATGAGAATCAAGACTCTTTAAGCTACCCATGTTGGTGCCCACCTTCAATCCCAGGGGCAGGTGGATCTGAATTTGAGGCCAGCCTGATCTACACAGTAAGTTTCAGGCTAGCCAGAGCTATATAGTGACACCCTGTCTGAAAAATAAAAGACTACCTTTGATGATATGACCATTTAATTAAGGAATGGAAGAGAAGGGTATGAAACTACTTTTGCTAAGGTGAACATACAAGAAATAGCCTCCCTGGGCGTGGTGGCGCAGGCCTTTAATCCCATCACTCGGGGGGCAGAGGCAGGTGGATCTCTGAGTTCAAGGCCAGTCTGGTCTACATAGTGAGCTTCAGGTCAGCTGGGGCTACAGGGCATTTGCACAGTTGAAGTAAGAGCAGCAAGGGGCTGTCAAGGAACATGGGCTTTCTCTCCTAGTTCAATGGATTGTACAGATACTAAGAAAACTATCATCAAACAGCTAAGGAAGAATATGGCCTGAAGTGAAAGAATGTAAAGAACCGATTCGGAGTTGTGCTTATCAGGAAAAATTAAGTATTAGAGAGAAGACCGAGCACTCCTGCCAAGCACCGTCTCCTCCCACACCCTCTCCAGCCTCATGGCACACCCTAGACTTACTCACGTTACAGAGAAAAATGGGTAAGAAAGGTTTTCAAGTGACTGTGAGTCACACAGACCAACCTAGTCCCACACAACCTTGTGGATCCCACCTATGTCCAGGGTGCCAGGCTTGGTTAGAGATTTCATATCATTGAGCTTCTTTCCCTCCTGCAAATGGTTCTTCTGAGGAGGAAATGAGATCACTGGAGGCTCCCAGCATGCACACACACGCACGTATGCACACACGCATGAACTCACACACGCACGAACTCACGCACACGCGTAGGAAGGGCTAAGGGAATAGTAACTGTCCTCATTTCCATTACTCGTTACCAGGAAAAAATGCTCATATAAAAAAGAATACTTGTAGTGAACAACGTTAGATTCTTGTGGACGCTACAATGAAGCTTTTGGAAACACCAGCTCTTGTTCTTGTCAGCAGCTCCTAGAAATACAGTACGGTGGTTTTCACCATTGAACAAATTTAAGACAATCTGCTGCAAAGCGTTTTCCCAAATGGTCAGTGGTCCAGCCCCAAGGCCTCTGCTCTTTACTCTGAGTCACTGTGATCACTGTCAGCACCCCGCAGCAGCTTACTCCCTCTCAGACTTTATCTTTAAAAACAATACCTGAACACCTTTAATCCCAGCACTCAGGAGGCAGAAGCAGGCAAATCTCTGTGAGATCAAGGTCAACCTGGTCTACATAGCAAGTTCCGGGCCAGCTGGGGCTGCAGGGGAACCCTGTCTCACAAAAAGTAATAATAATGCCACCTGACATTGATATCAGGCTTGAGACCCTGAAGCTAGACAGGTCACTGGACATAGGAAAGAGCTAATACTAGTTTTCTACTAAATGTAATATTAAATCGACTCTTAATGACTTATTGATACACTCATAGATCTTTCCTTATGCAGAAGATGGTGATTAACACAGAAACCTACAACTGGTCAATGTGCAGAAGCCACAGAGTACTTATAGGACACTCTACAGGACACATGTATCACGTTTCTGCCTCAGGAGTCAGTGCGGAAGAGGGGAAGAAAGACCGTAAGAGCCAGAGGTGGTGACGACCACAGGGAAACAGTCTTCCAGACAGCTGGTCAGTTACTCACATGAACTCACAGACATGGTGACGGCATGCACAAGTGCTACGCAAGCTCAAACCAGGCAAAATCCCAGCACAGACATGGGGAAGTGGGTGAGAAACCCCAACCCAACCAAAGGAACTTTTGGCAACTGATGGCTGCTGGGAGGGGGGAGACCATTTCTTTCAAGGATGGGACTTTTGGTAGTTAACCAGGCTCCAGTGAACAGATCCTCACTGAAGGACATTTGGGGACACAAATGAGACTTTATAAGCCTTATCATATATATATATATATATATATATATATTATATATTATTATATTATATATATAATAGAGTACATTAAATTAGGCAGGGGCAATAAGGAAAGGTGTGGATAGGGAGGGGATCCAAGTGTCACCCAGTTACAGTATATTAAAATTACAAAAATTCAATAAAAATACATTATAAAAACAAATAAACATTGGATAAAATATTAAAAGTGTTTTAAAATCTACTTTGAACTCTTAGTGGAACTGCTGAATTGCTGCTGACAACAGAGGCTGTGAAACTTGGCCCACCATTTTGAAGTCCCAGTGAAAAGCAGGGAGTGACCCGTGTTAGGAGCATCCAAGTTTCTGTTCCTCCTGCTCACTTTTCCCTCTCAGTGCTCTGTACAGACAAATGTTGAAATCCCTTTTTGTCCCTTGAAGGAGGCACAACCTGGGCTGTTAAAATGTGCTTCTCTCTTCAAGTATTTTGAATTGCTGGGCAGACATTTCCGAAACCAACAGGTTTTAGAGACATGGTCATCAAAGCAAATTATTAGGGAACATTTTCACTCCACGGATTAACTTAATAATACACTTGACATCAGTGAAATCTCGTGTAACTTGGAGTTAGGAAAGCCATAATGGCCAGGTTCCTTACCTACAACGATGCCATAGGAGAAAAAGAGAAAGTAGATATTGGGGGCAAAACTGCTCAGCATCAAGCCTCCAGACACCAGGAAACCACTGAAGATTGTGACGGGTCTCGCTCCAAAAGATGAGACACAGAGACTGCAGACAGGACCTAAAAGAGATCGAGACCTTCATATGCATAATAGTAACCCTTTTCATACATTCAAGAATGTAAGAACTAGCTTAAAATGATTCCATCATTAATAACAAATCACAACAAAGACAGACATCTACAGTCTGAGCCTTTGCTGTGCTCTAGATGGCATGCAAGGTGCTCCATGGGGACAACCCACTTGGTCTTACTGCTGTGCTGCAAAGAAAATGCTTTTGCTGGTTCTGTTTTTGTTGTTGTTGTTAAAGAAATTAAAGGATGATAAATCTGCCTAGGAGACGAGCCTCTGGGAATGCCTGTGGGAGTTTTCTAGACTAGGTTAATAGGTGTGGGGAGGCTTGGGGTTCTGGGCTGAATAAGGAAGAGAAGTGAGCTGAGCACCAACATCCATCTCTCTCTGCTTCCTGACTGTGGACACAGTGTGGCCAGCTGCCTCGATCTCGTGCTGCCATGATGTCCCCGACCCTGATGAACTGAACCCTCAAACCAGGAGCCAATGCAAATACTCCCTTACATTGCTTTCCTTGAATATTTTACGGTAGCCATGAGAGACCTGACACAGTAGTCACCTAAAGTCTCATTGATGGATACGATTTTGAGTCACAGAGGGGAGGGAATGAAAAGTCTCATTGAAAAGGTGTTTTTGTCAGGAGCACAGGTGTATGAGGAACGTGGAAAAATAAATTGCTAAGGAATCAGACAGGGAGCAATGCGTTTGTCTTTTCTAGCCCTTCAGGATAATTTGGGAAGATCCAGCACCATTCCATCATTGCTGGTTTAAAGTTAACGTAGAGGCAGAGCACCCTTCTAGCATGCATGAGGTCTGGGGTTGAATCCCAGCACTGAAGAATAAAACAACAACAAAAAAAGAATAACAAAAGGAAAAAGAAAAATTAATGAGAGGAAGAATATATTACATAAGTTAAAAATAGAAGTTAATTTTACATCTAGTTTTGTGTCAATCACACAGGAGGTGAGTCATTGCTGCCTTCCCTTCGCCGTGAGCACGGTCTCCCTGAACCCGAGTGTAAGGGGTCGTGACTGGGAGCCCCACTGGGAGCTTTAAATCGCTAACAAAGTAAAATAGCTTTTACACACAACTTAGCTCACCTGACGTGTATAAAACACCACTTCACATCCTTAATGAGTGTTACTGTCTTTTGCTAAATCCTTGAAATCCACTGTGTATTTTTCATGCCTACAGCATACCACATGTCAACTCAAATGAGTCACAAGTGCCCTGCAGCCCTGCCACACATGTCCACTGCACTAGACAGCACAACACTGGAGTCTTAACATGTTAGAAAAATCACATAAAACCCAGCACCTAGACCAGAAAACTAAGCAAACTCCTATCAGAAGTCAGACTAAAATCCATGGCCACAGTATTGTTACTGGCCTTAGCTTGACAGCCTGTGCTCATTATGAGCGAGATTCTGCCACACATCCCCAATAAACCAATCAAAAGAGCCAAATGCAGCTGGGTGTGGTGGTGCGCCGGCTCAAAAACAAAAAAATAAATAAAAGAACCAAATGAATAAAAAGGAGAATTCAATGTGACCATATTGAGAACAGAGTCAAAGACACCCAGCAAATCCTCGGCTCCAGGTCCACCTTCAGGGATCCCAACATGAAGGTAAGGTTTAAATAGAAATAAAGAGATCTGCAGTTTCTTAACCCTCTGTCCTAGAGAGAGCTGCAGGCAGGCATAGCCCGATTTCTTCATGGTGTGAAATTTGGTCTTTTAGAAGTGACCACTGTCTTTTAGGAGGGGCATGTCCATGTTTTGTATGAATCAGCCATTGATTGGCTTCAACCAATGCATGTGAATCAAAGACCGAGTGGGCAGGGCTTCTCAGAGCCTTTCTAGAGTGATGTACTAGAGAGGCAGATGAACTAGAGTGATGAACTAGATTTCAGTGGAGGGAAGAGGACTCGTGGGGCTTCTTGGTTTGGTGGAAAACTCATGTAATTACCAACCTGGAACTGCGTGGTACATGGGAACAACAGGTCAATGCCCCAGAATCCTGCAGGAGGATGGAATTCAGTCCTTGAAAGGAGTTAAGGGTACTTGGTGCTCAAGGCTAATCCTCCCTCAAATCCTTCCTTGGCTCCCCACACTTCCAGAGTGGATTTGCTGTCTATTTTACTCACTCATGTTAGCAGTTGAAAGGCTGGAGGGATTAAGGACCAAGTTGGGGGAGGGGACTGTTAAATCTGCATTAAGCACAAAGCTAAGGAACCAAAGTGTTCCCTGTTGTTTTAGCAACTGGGTTGGCTCTGTACTTCCCCCTTGAACTTGAAGAATGACATCTAGACATGAGGTGCTTTCGTGCACCTTAAAATACTGCAAGGCGGTAACCGTTCTCTAACCCAGTGACGTTCCCCACCCTGTGCTAGCCTGGCCCAATGACAGAAACAAAACCCACAGGAAACACACACTAAGAGATGTATTGCACAGAATCCATGCAGGCTACCGGCCAGGCAATACTTGCCAAAGTAGGCAAGTTCAAGATGGGTGGGGTGGGCCACCAGGAAGGACAGGTTGGAACTCAGGCACAGGCTGATGCTGTGCCCTCAGGCAGAACTGCTTCATTTGGGAATGTTTCATTCTGCTCCTGAGACCCTGCCGCCACTGGTCAAGTCCATGCAGACTATCCAGGATAAGCTCTTTCCTCTGAAAACTGAATGTTCACTTTATTTATAGCTTTAAAATGCCTTCCCAGCATGCCTGCTTAGCACTGGAGAATGCATGTGACCTGGCCACACTGTCACAGAAAACCAACCATCTCCCCTCCCAGCACAATCCCTCTTCTTCAGCCAAGTTCACCTCACCGGAAGGTGTCCTCTGAGATGCAGACTCTAGGCCTTGGTATCCAGGAACTCTACCAAGACTGCCAGCTTCCTGGTGGTATGCCTGTGACAATCCACCCTCCTGGGCAGCCCACCTCAGACGATCTCAATAAAACCAGTAAAGAAAAAACATCAAAAGGATGACTGAGGAGACAGCAAACATGAGGACAGTCAGTTCTTGATCTCCAGAATGCACATGAAAAACAGAGCGTGGTGGTGCACACGTGCAACGCCAGTGCTGGGGGTAGAGGTGCTAACGGGGATCCTTGGGGCTCACTGGCCAGCCAGCCAGGGGCCCTAAGGAAGGACACCTGAGGTTGATCTCTGACTTCCACATGCACCCAAGAAACACACCAAGGGGCTGGAGAGATGGCTCAGTGGTTAAGAGCTGGAGAGATGGCTCAGTGGCTGCTCTTGCAGCGGACCTGGGTTTGATTCCCAGCACCCACATGGCGGCTAACAACCATCCATAACTCCAGTTCCACATGGCAGCTAACAATCATCCGTAACTCCAGTTCCACATGGCAGCTAACAACCATCCGTAACTCCAGTTCTCACCTCCTGGACATTGCCTGACATGGGTGCACTTACATACATGCAGGCAATACACTCATACACATCAAATAAAAATAATAATTAAAAAAGAAATGCATCAAGACGAAGCAGCACCGGGTCAGGGCACTGAAAACGAGTTGGGAGGCCACAGTTAATCAGACCTCAAACACACAGCTCAACCTTTGAACAGGGCTCAGACACACCTACCCCAGACACCAATCGACCTCTGAAGCTCTCTTAACCTCTGCTGACTCCGTCCCTTGAAAGACCCTGGAGACTAAGATTAGGCTCTATCCCTCTCTTTCAAGACAGCATAACTTCTCTTCCTACGGATCATAATTCCTGACTCATAAGTTATGTAACTTTCAAGGTCTTTGCAACTTAAACTTAGCTGTACAGCTGCCATTTTGGAAAACCCCAGAGCAACTTTCCAGCACTGTTTAAATCTGTTTGGATGGATTACAATCTCAATTAACTCCCAAATAAATATAAATACAATCTCCTCTGACATTAACTGGGTTAAATTTATCCTTAGTCAGCAAACCCCAGAGATGGTCTCACCCTTGATGTTTACCATGGTCTTTAAGAAACTCTAAATCATTAGTTTTCTTCTAGTAAGAGTGTGTGCTGGACAGCTTGAGTTGTCAACCTGACACACCTGAGTTGTCAACCTGACACACCTGGGTAGAGGGAGCCTCAACTGGTGAGTTGCCTCCATTGGACTGGCCTGTGGCCATGTCTGTGGGACATCTTGATTATTGAGTGATGTGGGAGGGCCCAGTCCACTGTAGGTGGTGCCACCCCTGGGCAAGTGGGCCTGTACTGTATAAGAAAGCAGGCTGGGGGCTGGAGAGATGGCTCAGCGGTTAAGAACACTGAATATTTTTGCAGAAGACCTGGGTTCGAATCCCAGCACCCACGTGGCAGCTAACAACTGTCTGTAACTCCAGTTCCAGGGGATCCGACAGCCTCTTCTGTCCTCCTGGGGCACTGCACGACATGGGTGCACTTACCTACATGCAGGCAATACACACATACACATAAAATAAATATTTAGCAAGGCCTCAGATCTTAGAAGTCATAAAAATATTCATACTCAGCACTTGGGAGGCAGAGGCAGGTGGATCTCTGTGAGTTCAAGGCCAGCCTGGTCTACAGAGTGAGTTCCAGGACAGCTCGGGCTACAGGGAGATCCTGTCTCAAAAAGACCAAAATAAATAAATAAATAAATAATAAAATAAAATAAAATAAAAAGAAATCGGGCTGAGCAGGGGCCAGGGGAGCAAGCCAGTAAGCAGCATTCCTCAATGGCCTTCAGCTCCTGCCTCCGGGTTCCTGCCCTGAGTTCCTACCTTGGGCTCCCCCAGTGATGAACTATGACCAGGGAGATGTAAGCTGAATAAAGTCTTCCCTCCCCAAGTTGGTACTGGTCTGAGTATTTTGTCACTGCAATGAAGAAACAAACTAGAACCGTGTATATGTATGTATCTTGGCATCTGTTCTAGTTTGCTTTCTGTTGCTGTGATAAACACCATGACCGAAAGCAACTTGGGGAGGACAGGATTCATTTCAACTGACCCTTCCAGGTCACAGTCCCTCACTGAAGGAAGACAGGGCGGGAACAATGAAGGGGCCGTACCTACTGGCTTGCACGTGGGCCTTGCTTAGTCAGCTTTCTCAGGTAGCCGGGGCCCACCTGCCTTGGGATGGCACCACCCACAGTGGGCTGGTCCTCCCTACATCGATTAGCAGTCAAGACAGTGCCTTACAGACATGGCCACAGACCAAGCTGATGGAGGAAATTCCCTGGTTAAGGCTCCCTTTTCCCAGGGTGTCAAGTTGACAACCAGGATCAGCCATCCCAGCATGTCCACAGTGATCAAACCCCACCCTGTTCCATGCTGCTCCACACTGTATAGAGCAGCCACTTTGCCTTGCCCCGAGTGGCTCCATGTCATACAACAGAAGTTTGAGTGCGATCATTGAGGAAAGCTCCACATCTTGTTTGTAATAAGCAAACAGTCAGCATCTATCCAACACAAGCAATGGGGCAAAGCCTGGTAAATAATACATACAAATGAAATATTACCACCTGTGAACCTATCAAATTGAATGAGAGACACATCAACACATGAGTGTATCAGAATCACATTATTAGGAACCTGAGGTTAGATAGGTCACAGGACACAGGGGAGAGCCCAATACTAGTTTTTTGCTAAATGTAGTATTAAACTGACTCTTAATTACCTATTGTTACACCCATAGATGAATGCATCTCTCAGCTCTCGCCAGAGATGTTTCCTTATGCAGCAGATGGTGATTATCACAGAAACCCACAACTGGCCAATGTGCAGAGAACAGAGGCCAGAGAGCTTATCCCTGAATAGGGCACCTAGATCAAACATCAGCCTCCCAAGGCTCAGGAATCATTGTGGAAGAGGAGAGGAAAGACTAAGAGCCAGAGGGGGTGAACAACCAGAGGGAAATCAGAGTTTCCGGTTACTCGTATGAACTCACAGCAATGGTAACAGTGTATACCATGCAAGCTCAAATAAGACAAAATCCCAGCATACACATGGCGAAGCAGGTAAGAAACCTCAAACCAGCCAAAGACATTTTGGCAACTGATGGCTGCAGGGTGGGGTGGGGGGCAGTCTCTTTCAAGGATGGGGCTCTTGGTAGGTTAACCAGGCTCCTAGCACTTAGGTCAGTGCCCAAGTTCCACATCACAGCTGCCATAGACCCTCTCCTCCTACTGACAGGCTTGGCCTGGTTCCCCTAACACATGCTAAGGGAGCTAGCTCAGTTACCCTTCGACCCTCAACGGAAGCAAGATGATAATGTTAGTATCTGTTTAACTATTTGCTATTGGAAATGGTGAACGATTAGAAAATGTTTTTAAAAAACTCCCCTCCCTGTGCCAGGCTGTTTTCTAGAAAGCCGTATGTTTAAATCTCTGCATGAATGTGTCAGTTATTGTTTTCTTGTACTTAGACAGTTTTACTAAGATCCTTAGTCTTTAAAAATTAAAAAAAAATGTGTGTGTGTGTGTACATGAGTGTATGTATGTGAACCATATGCATGCTGGTGCCTATGGAGGCCAGAGGGGCATTAGATCCCCTGGAACTGGAGTTACAGGTGATTGTGAGCTGCCATGCGGATGCAGGAACCGAACCCAGTTCCTCTGCAAGAACAGCAAGTGCTCTTAACTGATGAGTCATCTCTCCAACTTCACAAACCTTATTTTTCAAAACCCTTTCAAGTAAATCTCAGACACGCTTCCTTGTTCTCTGGAGCCCGTAACACAGGGTTATCTCCATTGGTTTAGCGGTGCCTAGTCACCTGACCCGGAGGGGCCTGCAGTGTTTCCCTAGGCTTAGGCACCTCGTTCAACTGTGTTGTTGCTTTTGTCCACAGCAGCCCCACTGATACCCAAGAGACACACACTTAAAGAAGACAAGACTAATGCAGAATTGTTTAGGCAGGTTCTCATAAATCTACCTTAGAACTCAAAAACACAGGGCTAGAGAGACGGCTCAGTGCTTAAGAGCCCTGGCTGCTCTTGCAGAGGACCTGGCGGGTTCAGTTCCCAGCACCTATATGGTGGCTAAGAATTGTCCTAACTCCAGTTCCAGGGGGTCCAATGCCCTATTCTAATTTCCAAGGCATTGCACAACATGGGTGCACTTAAAAGCATGCAGGCAATACACTCATACATATAAAAAAGAAAAAAAAATTAAAAAACATCTTATGAATCACCACATCCAGTGTTCCCAATTTCTCCATAGAAATGGGGTCTGAGTTTTGTTCCAAGAACCACAGCAAGTTCATAGCACACAGGAAGAGACTTCTAAGTACCCATCCCATCTATGCTCTGTCTTAGCCCATCTATGCCTAAGTAACGTCAGGTAAGGTAGAGTAAATATTACTACAGAATTTATACCAGAAACTGAATTGGCATGTGTCACTAACAGTCAAAAGAAAAAGAAAAATCCCCTAGGTCTGGAGGGAGAGTTCAGCAGTTAAACGCTAAGGGTAACAACGAAAACATGAAAAATCCCTTGTGGTTCGCTTTAAAGACAAGCCATCATGATTGCATCATATACAATCATATAGCAAGCGAGATCTTCCTATCACCTGTTGTGGTTAGGCTCCCCATAGGCTCCAGGTATTTTGATACTTGGTCCCCAGTTTGTGGCAGGGTTTGGGGAGGGTTATGGAACCTTTACATGTGACCATGCTGGAGGAAACACATCACTGGGCAAAGGTTTTAAGAGTTCTCTGAGCTTTGCCAGATTTCCAGTCTCTCTGCTTCCTGTGGGCGCCCGGCTTTCTGCTCCGGCCACCTGCTGCCACGCCTCCCCGCCATGATGGACTCACCTCTCTGGAACCAAATAAACTCTTCCTTCTATAAGTGTCCTTGGTCATGGTGTTTTATCACAACAACAGAAAAGTAACTAATAGATAACCCTAGTGAAAAAGCCTTAATAACATCATGACCTGAGACGTGACCACTTTTGCTGTGTGGTATTTTTGGAGGAGGCCCTAATAAATGAACGATGCCGTTAGCTCCCAGCCCCTAGTGAGCCTCTTAGAATCAGGAAGTGTATGTTTGCAGTTCATCTATTTACTTTTAGCACCTAGCACTGCCTGGACCATTAGCAAAGAAATGGATGGTGAGATGGATGGCAGGCTTACAGAATTCCTGTGTTTTCACATGGATTCATTACAGTGGAAGAATATTGCTGAGTCTCAACAACAAGCAGGAAAATATATATTACCCTAAAAAATCTTAGAGCCCCCTATACCTTACACAATGTTAATAATATAGCAAATCTAATTAAGTGATTAAAGAGTAACAAAAGATATAAATGTATCCACTTACTTGCAAGCAAGCCAACTCCACTTGCCAGGGACCCCACCCAGGCTGTTTTTCCTTTTCCTTCTCCGAAGGCATCCAACCATTCTATATACAAGACCCCGACAGCTAAGGGTGATCCATAGCACAGAAACTGGGCGAAGAAGGAAACCAGCACGATCACCCAGCCCCACCCGCCATCCGGAGACTTCCGAAATCCCATTGTAAGTCGAGATCAAGGTGGTGTTTTCCTTCAGACACTGAAAACAAACAAGAAAAAAGAAAAGGACATTCAGAGTTGATGACAATAGGGTTTTAGATTAAAATACTGCGGGAATGGCTCCCCAGCTAAGAGTACCTGCTGCTCTTTTGGGGGGAGGGGAACTTGAGTTTGGTTTCAGCAACCATGTCTGGGGGTCACAACCATCTGCAACTCCAGCTCCAGAGGATTTGATGCCTTCTTCCAGACTCTGCAGGCACCCCCCCAATTAAAAATAAATCTTTAAAATAAGTTTTTACCTAAATTAAAGACTAAAATGATTTTCTGAACACATACATGGACAAAATCAGCTTGGCAGATAGCACCTTTCCATGTTAGCCATCTGGCCGGCCCCCTCTGTAACCTGGAACTCACTACTTGGGCTGGGCTGGCTTGCCAGTGAGCCCCAGGGAGTCACCTGTCTCTACCTCCCCAGTACTGGGACTACAAGCATGTGTCACCAAACTTGGCTTTTTTGTGTGTACTGAGCATCAAACTCAGATCCCCGTGCTTGCCTGGTAAACACTTTACTGACTTGAGCTATCTTCCCAAACCCTCTAGTAACAGTTTTGCACCTTGACAAGTTTAGAATCTCCTTTATACAGCCTTAATTCCCCACACTAGATAGGAATAACAAAGCATCTAAGAAGACAGGTTATGTAAAGACAAAAGCTTATGAGGTCAGGCTTCCTTTAAACCCTCAAACTGCGGTGCTTGGGGACTGCACCTGCTGACTCAGGAAGAGGCCAACTCCTGAAGAAAGCAAATTTTCTGAGAGTCAGGGGGGAGGATTATCTCCCTAGCAAACCTAAGCAGATAGAAATTCCTTTCTTCAACTATCTGGCTCTACCTTGCCTTGCCTGGGGTATTTCAACACCTAGAGCAGGAATAAATCCCTCACAGGAAGTATGGAGGAAAGAGCCTTCTAAGCTTTCCACTGGATCTTGAAAGACAAGCACTCATGCTGTTGACCCACACCTCCTGACCCACCCTGGTCTCCCAGTTTATGCTGGTGGCATCTCAGTAGGACACAGTGAACAGCACTGTCCAGTGATGTCCTGTTTTCCCCTCATTCCCTCTCTTAACCCTGCCTCATCTACATAGAGACGTTAGAAACAGGCTAGTCTTTTCATCACTGTAACACCTAAGAAAATCACTTAAGGGGAGCAAAGACGTGTTTGGGCTTACATTCAGAGGTTTGTGTCCATGGTCACTGGCTCCATCATGGTGAGCACAAGGAAAGACAGAAATCATAACTGGAGAGGCACAAATGGGCCTGTCCATTTCCTGGCAGCCAGGAAGCAAAGAGGAGGGGTCACAGGGCGCTCTTCAAAGGCTCCTGCCAAGTGAGCTCCTCCCTCCCTTGGGACACCCGCCTTCACTTTCAATACTGCCATCAAGCCGGGGTTCCATCGGGGAATAATTCCACAGATTAGGTCAGAGCCCTCTGAACCCAACAAAGCCCCCAATACATGAACCTGTGGAGGATACTTCATAGTCAAACTATAATACCTTAATTTTCCCTTTCCATAATGGTTCTTGATTTTCTTTAGGAGACATAGGTAGGCCCAAGGGGTAGAGGGGAGGTGGAACTGCTTCTTCAAGGCTTTTGACCTTGGTCAATAGAGCAGAATATAACCTAGGAAGACCAGTCGGGTTTCTCTCCCAGGACTCTGCTTCTTAAGAAAAAGGCCCAAGGGAAAGAAGTATATGGATTTGATTGCTGTCTGTGCAGATATGTTGAAAAACCACTCTCTGAACTCTACTATAGATCCCACAGAAACTCTAAGCTGGCTTTGCTAGTCTTCAAATTCAATGAGCTAACCCAATAAATTATTTTGTTAAGTTACCTAGTACATGATATTCATGCCTTTAGTTTTGCAGAATAAGCTTACTGTGAGTACTTGGTGCACACCCCACTTAATCCCATCTGGGCCAAAGGTAAAGCTGAGAAGTGCTCAGTTAGCATATGTTGGTTTGCTGCTAGAATTTGGATAAGTGTTCTGAGAGGCCTGTGGGTTAAAGGCTTGGTCCCAGCTTGGTGCTACTGGAAGGTGGTAGAAACATTAAGAGGTGGGTCTACTGGGATATTCTGGTCATTGGTTACTTAGTTAAGTTTCCCAGCGTGCTCTTGTGGGATAGTGTGACCTGGGCCCTTCCTCTTTGTCTTTCTTTTGTGACTTGACTATCAAGGAGAGTATATTAGCATGTGTGCCTCTACAGACCAAGAGCAGCGGGACCAGTCAATCAGGAATCAAAACCTCCGAAACTGAGCCAAACTAAACCTTTTCCTTTTATAAGCTACCTAAGCTATTTGTTACAGTAACGAAAAGCTGACATATATATGACATCTTCTCTTTCGGAAAATTTATTACCTTCTTTGAATCTTGTTATCCAATTCTTTTACCTGGCAGTTTTTTCTGATAGAAACTCCAAACTAATTGATATTTCCACTAAGTTCATTCATCCTGATGTTTATAGAAATGTAGCACAACACAGGTAGTTTTGATTCAAAAATGATTTTCTTAAATTTTTTTTTATGTACATGAGTGTTTTGCCTACATGTTATAGAAATGTAGCACAACACAGGTAGTTTTGATTCAAAAATGATTTTCTTAAATTTTTTTTTATGTACATGAGTGTTTTGCCTACATGTTATAGAAATGTAGCACAACACAGGTAGTTTTGATTCAAAAATGATTTTCTTAAATTTTTTTTTTAATTTTATGTACATGAGTGTTTTGTCTACATGTGTGTAAGTGCACCCTTGTCATGCAATGCCTCAGAGGTCAGAAAAGGGGTCAGATTCCCCTGGAACTGGAGTTAAGGATGGTTTGTAGCCACCATGTGGGTGCTGGGGATCGAACCCAGGTCCTCTGCAAGAACAGTCAGTGCTCTTAACTGTTGAGTCATCTCTCCAGCCCCAATTCAAAATGATTTTTATTGTATTGCAGTTGATACTGAGGGGCATGATAAGCTAAAGCCAGGGTCTTTAAGCTCAGTTAGAAAGGAAAAAGATTCCATGAGAGCCACAAGAGGACCTGGGGTGCAAGGACACTCACTGTTGAAAAGCTGAAGGAAATGCAAGGTAGTCAAGACAAGTGCAGAAGCCTCACAGACCAAGTTAGTGCTAAGGAAAGTGTGATTTAGGGCGCCTAGGCATGAGGAGCCACAGGAGCTACGCGTGGGAGCCGCGTGGGAGCAGGCCAGGAGCGGCGGGTTTGACTGTGAAGAGGACAGGTCTCCTGGAGCTCCCAGATGAGACCAACGCGCTCTCCTCTGACATGTAAGAAGAGCCTGTAGCCTGTGTTTACATCCAACAGGATTCTTTGTACACGTAACATGATGTAAGTTTTCTCACTGCAATGACAATCTGTCGGAGAGAAAGCAACTTGAGAGAGGGAGGGTTCGCTTCGGCTCTCTGTGAAGGGAGGGATCGGTCAGGGCAGAGAAGGCGCTTGGCCAGGAGTGAGACAACCAGTCAGACTGCAGCCACAGCTGGGCGGTGCCAGCACCAATTCTCCATCTGACTCAGTCCAGGTCCCTAGATCAGCAATTGTTCAGTTCACATTCAGGATGGGCTTTTCCTTCTCAGTTAGACTTTTCTGGAATCATCCTCATGAGGTATGCTTCCATGGTAATTCTAAATCCAGTCTAGTTGGCACATTTTAAAAAAATTGTAACATTGGGACTAGAGAGGTGACTCCGGGGTTAAGAGCACTAGCTGCTCCTGCAGAGGACCTGGGCTCAGTTCCCAGCACCCATATGGCTCACAACCATCTGCAACTCCAGTTCCAGGGGATCTGACACCCTCTTCTGGCCTCCATGGGCACCGCATGCACAGGTGCACTTACATACATGCAGACAACACACTCACACATATTAAATAAACAAATAAAATGAAAAAACCCTAACATTAGTAAACCATTTGTATTATTGAAGTAATACATTTTCCCCTAAGAAAAAATAACAGGGGGCTGGAAAGATGGCTCTGTTATTGCAGAAGACCCAGGTTCGAATCCCAGCACCCACATGGCAGCTATCAACTGTCCGTAACTCCAGTCCCAGGGGATCTGACAGCCTGGTGCACTTACCTTCATGCAGGCAATACACACATACACATAAAATAAAATAATAAAATATATAAAAAAAATAACAAGACCTATCAAGTAGAGCATGAAATCAAAGTTATCATAAGGAGGTGTGACTATCCACCATACCTGGGTTATCAGGGGAGGAGGAGTACCCGCTCCCTAAGCTGGGGTTTGTTCTAATAGAGGAAAAGGTAAGCTGGCAAGCTGCAGGCACTTTCTCCAGAAAACAGATCACACCACTGAGAGATGTCTACACTTCCCTGAGGTGAGCCTTAGGTTCTAATGCCTATATACCTCATTCTCTTCAGGCATCAATTATTTGTTTTCTTGGGGAGAAGCTGTCAGAACTTTACATCTGACACTTAGGTCAACATTTAATATTGACATGTAAGCTTTTTGTCCTCGAAATGTACAGGGCATGTGCTGCCCCCTCTCCCCACCATGCACAGATGCATAATAAATAACAATAACTGCACCAAGCCGGGCGTGATGGTGCACACCTTTAATCCCAGCACTTGGGAGGCAGAGGCAAGCAGATCTCTGTGAGATCCAGGCCAGCCTGGTCTACATAGCGAGTTCCAGGCCAGCTGGAACTACAGGGAGACCGTGTCCCAAAAATAGAAAAGTATTAAAAACTTTGTCTAAAATTATACACTCATCCTCATTATAAATATATTCATTTCATTTCTATAATCCTATAAGCATCGTCTACAGTAGGAAACAGCAACATTAGCTGTTATTACAGTAATGCTGCAATATAAGAGTTGTGTTCATACAAATAATAATTTTAGTATGACTGTGAACCTGATTGCAGAGGCCTTGATCAGATGGCCTAGGAAGGTGGTAGAGGACTAAGCCACTTCTGTGATTGTTTCTTGGTATTTTAAGCATTGAAGGAGAAAAAGCCAAAGGGAAGATGTAAAAGTCAAGCCTTCTAGCAAATATCAGCGCTTTAAAAACAAATGCTGCTGAGCCAGAAGTGGGTTTACATGCAGGCCTCTAATCCCAGGACTCAGGAGACTGAGGCAGGAGGAATGCAGCACAGTGCAGGCCAGGCAGGGTAATACAGCTGCAAGATCTTACCTCACAAAGAG